ACTGGTCAGGACTTCTAAACATGGTATACAACAATGGGTAGTCCCAACTGTATACAGAGGGTTAATGCTCCAACACGCACATGATGCACCTACATCTGGGCATCGTGGTGATAAGATCACATATGAGATATTGCGTGATTATGCATATTGGCCACACATGTTAAGGGATGTTAAGACATACTGTCAGGGATGCTTGATTTGTCCGCAATATCAACCCCATGGTCCAACCCATCGTGCACCACTTCAGAAGAGGGGGGTGTCATTACCCTGGTCTGATATTCAAATTGACTTTATAGGTCCTGTAACAAGATCTTCAAGAGGTAACAAATACATGTTAACCGTTACATGTATGTACACAAAGTGGATAGAGTGTTTGCCTTGTAAAGAGAACACGAGTACCGTGTGCGCCACTTTGTTGATTAACCATGTCTTTTCCAGGTTCGGTCTGCCTCAAAGAATTGAGTCAGACAGAGGTAGTCATTTTACCAGCGAAGTAATGGCTAAGATGTGGAACATTCTAGGTGTTAAACGAAAGCTACATATTGCATACCGCGCTGCGTCTAGCGGGGGGGTAGAGCGATATAACCAGTCTATCGTTAATATTCTAAAGAAGTATGTTAAGGAGTCTGGTAAAGACTGGGACATTAAATTGCCCCTAGTTTTAATGGCGATTAGAGCTACACCTAGCACTGCTACCAAATTGTCACCTTTTGAATTGATGACAGGAAGAAAGATGGTTTTACCACAGCATTTACTATATCGTACTTCGGATCATAACTTGATCAATGCTGCCACTACGCATCAGTATATCGAAGATTTGCGCAAGCATTTACAGCATGCGTTTGCTTTTGCCCAAAAGAATCTAGAAAAAGCAGCGACAGGGGTTAAGACCTATTACGATCTAAAAACCACGAAAAAGGAATATGAGATAACAGATCAAGTCTATCTGTATAACTTTGCGCGAAATCAAGTCAAGGAAAATAAATTTTTACCTTCTTGGAAAGGGCCATATGTCATCATTGACAAAATTTCCCCAGTAGCGTATAAGATAAAAATTCCTAAGGATGGTGATTTTATTGAAAAGTGGGTTCACATTAACCAGTTGCGTGCTTGTCATCCTAAATCTCAATTAAGGATTATAGGTGTGGATTCGGATGCAGAAGGGTGAACGACTAACCTGGATGAATGCTTGATTCACGTGGTATAGTATGATGTGAATGTTGTGATGTGCCATGATCTCATGTACGTTCATGTCATTAACCATTTCCTTGCCATCCAATAACTACATTTTATAAGCAGGTTACTAGCTTGTTTAACTGCTATAGGCAAATTACTGAAGAGTCAGTAATAAATGTAGTGAGGGATGAAGTTATAAAAATAGAATTAGACAGAATACATATGTTGATGAATCGTAATAATGTGTTGTCCTAGGCCAAGTGATGTCACACTGTTATAAGTTTGTATGCTTAACAAACCTTGAATCATTAGTAGATAAGTCTGAAACGAGTTCCTGATCCGTGACTGTCGAAAGATGTCCAAGAAGGATGTGGCGTGTTTCTGGATCGTACTGCTCCTGTGCCAAGAGCTACGGACCGACCCGATCGCAGAGATGGGACCATCCTCCGGCATCCTGATTCAAGAGACACCAGGGTTCATCTTAACAGAGAAGAGGATCCTGACCCGACGTGTGTTCGTCAGCTTGGACCCCAAGATTTCCATCGAGAAGGCATACAACATTTCATCGATGCAGCTTCCTGAGTTACAGACTTGGTACCAGATGCACCTCCAAAGAGCACAGGACCGTGTGCGAAACATCTTGGAGCAAGCCCGGAAACCATTTGTATCCAGTTCTATTCCGATGAGCAACCGACCCAAAAGGTTCCTCACCGCCATAATTGTTGCATTAGTTTGTGCCACTGTCGGTGCAGTTGTCGCAACTGGAATGTCTACAGCCAACTCTATTACTGTCCAAAAGCTGGATATGGAAATCTATGTGCTAAAGCAACACATTAACGATATTCATCAGGTGATACAACAGCAAAGAACACTTCTCCAAGACGTGTTAACTATTGTGGAAGACACAGTTGTTAGAACAAACTTGCATTCAGAGTTAATTGCCATATCCACTGAGTTGCACCAAAGTCATGACTTATTTAAGCATGAACTTCTATTTCTGCATGACCCAATATTGTTCCACACACTTGCTTTTCTCGACGAAGTGCAAACTGGAATGATCGAATTGGCAGGGGGACGCATACCTCTGTACTTTGTATCCAAGGATATTGTTCATGCGATGCTTGCCAATGTGGATGGAGAGACAATTGAGCCTATGCAATTAAATCTGGCCTTTGAGATGGGGAGCGCTATACCTCTCTTAATTGATCCGGAACGTATGGAGATTTGCTTTTATTGACCATACCATATGTAACTCCCAAAGACATTTTTCAAATGAAAACAATGTACTATGTAATAATGATATTATGGTTGATTGTACTAAGTGTAAAGTTCAAAACTTTTACAGGTACAAATATATACAAAAATGTTCATTCCACGCACGGGCCTATGTTAGAAATGATGTGATTGCACAATATGTCTGATAACTTCTATAGTGCTTATTCATAAGCTAAATTAATTTTGGCTATGAAATGCACTAAAGGGGGGTTATGTCAGAGTATTTATATCGGCAGACATTTTGTGCTATGATAGAAACTAAAAGTGTATATTCTGAGTCACTCTGAACAGACCAGACTCCATTTTGTTATTTCAAATTAACAAAAAAGACACAGGATTTCTTTCTGTAAGACTGGCCTCTTTGCCAGAGCTAAGGAATGCATAGTATAAACAAGTGATAAGGAAGGGGGTTGGACAGACTGTCTAATGCTAATGGAATATAATCAAATCTAAACCCAGACAATTGTGACAGAGAAGATTAAATAATTTAATATTTAACTGTCTATATATATAAGGTACCATTGTATGGAAAAGGGTAAACTTAGTTCATGATCTGTCATATCAGAAATTATGGCAGGAATTGCAGACGCTAAGTCTGGACAAAATTTAAGAAACCCTTTGAAATTTTAAATTATGGCGCTATAAAGATAATGCAAAATGACGTCAAAATAGCCACCAGGAAAAGTTAACTCTTTCCTGGATAGGTATGTTTAGTGGGGCAAGACTGCCCTCTACAGACCAAATAACTAATTTGCGATCTGGAAGATAACCACACCTCTAGTGCTTCTATTGGGTTATCAACTGATGACGTACAGAGAGTATGGCCCTTTAAAAGTTAAGACAAAGGGAAGATACAAGAAAAGACGAGAGGAGGCAGATGCAAGAGATGCAGAGGAGAGAAAAGAGAGGAATTGGAAGTTTGGGGACTCCAACCTCCATGCAGAGACACATCCAAATAAATTCCTGAGACTACCAATCGGATGAAATATCTACTCAACTGGTAATTATACTGGTTTCATTTAATTAAATTAATTTAATTAAAATGTATTAATAGCATTATATATGACTGGATAAAGCACGGTCAGATTTCCATATTAAGAAATCTTAGTTAACTAAGAATATATAGTTATAAACATTCCATTCTGCAGGTGGAATTAAGAATAATTATATATTGATGTGATATTATCACGTGTTAGCATACCGCTGTTTTTATCCAGGTGTATTGATTTGCTCTAAATTAAGATAGATATCTTTTAGACAAATTAAAAATCTGCTTATATAATATATTAAATTCTCTTATGGATGGTTTAAGAAAATGACTAATGAACTGGTTTAAATGTTATTTTATTTAAAATACATAAGAATAGATCTACCTAGGAGATCTAGCCAGCATTGAAAGGGTTATTCTAACTGTCTGCTAAACTTTACGACCTTACGCTGCACTCTGAGGAATTCTGTTCTCTGTGTGAAAAGTTTTACTTTCAGTCTGTGTTAAAGATGGTAATAAATAAGTCTTGACAGATAATGCTGTTTAGCCATTGAAACGTAATACCCATTCCTTTGTATTGCATATAATTTTATACTGAATATTCATTGATTATTGTCATGCATGTTACATAATATTATTTGTTAATTATTGGTTATCATAAATAAAAATCTATTTTTATACATCGTGATATTAATTATATGAAATACTTTCACTTACGATAAACGTTCTTTGGGATCTGAGAATTGAATTAGTGGGCAATTCTCACTGTTACTATTATTATCCCATAAATATCCCCACAAGGGGCTGTCTATCTGTGCCATAGACATCTTTGTTTTTGTCAAACAGTTCCCATATATTTGGACAGAAAAATGTTGGACAGAACCCAGAGACTCTTTCTGCTAGTTAATCTTTTGTGTATAAAACTTTCCATGGGTTTTGAATACAATTATTTTAACTCCATGCAATACAGCGATACAATAGGCACAAAAACAAGCTTAGCACAATGAATCAGTTTTGGTGTACCGATCATGCTTCTGCAGTCTCACTGCCATTTAGGAGTTAAATTAGCATCCTGTGTGTTTTAAGGTTCCATTTATAGAACAGGAGATATCAGCTTCTAAAGTAAGTTAACATCTGACTGACAATTAAACAATTCTTTTTCATGTTGGCTGCTTCAGTTACAGCCAGGGGAAGTGTGGATAGCACTGCATAAACAGAAACAAAAGTAATTTAACTCCTAAATCTCATAGAATTGAGACTGTGGGGTCATGATCTATACACCAAAACTGCTTCATTAAGCTAAGTTTGTTTTGATGCCTAGAGTATCCCTTTAATTTTCATTCCTTCTATCCTTGCTTCCCTTTACTGTGCAATAAATCCCTCTATAAAACACTGTTGGAATATACAATTCCATTATGGTTTCCCGGGGTAAAGTATTCTTTATTTATGGACACACACATTGATCGTGCATTATTATATTGTTATACAAAACTAATAAAATGTTGAATTACAAATAAAAAAAATATATTAATTCACATTGTCATGTAAAAGATATTTGTATTTATTGGTTGATATTAAAGGTAAATAGAATGACATAAATCGTCTTCTCACCATGGACAGCAAATCTCTCACATTCTTCTTTGGACATCCCTGGCTTGTAGACAGAGTCAACGTAACCGTAAATGTAAGTGCTGCCGGAGCCTCCGATGGCAAAAGGCTGCCGTGTGATCATTCCACCCAACGTCCCATAGACCTGTAAAGCAGAGGGAGATCGGTTACAGAAAAGAGTCACCTTATAACTTTTGCCTCATCTCATGTCCCGGTAACTTGTGAATGGAATAACGAGGAAAGCTCAAGGCTGGTCTGGCAAATTTTACTGGAAAAAAGTGATAACATATTTAAATCCAAGCATAAATATATGTGCCTTACGAAATGCCAAGGCCCTAATGCAATGGTCAACAATAATGTGCTAACATGGTTGTTTTTAAGAAATGCCCTTCCTGCCCCATTTGATTAGTATCCAGTTGATTTCACACTACATTCCACCCCAGTCTTATGTCCATATTGTCTTCAAGATGTTTCCACATTCTCCCTATGCAAGTCTTATAGTAATGTTTGTTTGTATGCTGTCATATTGTTAGCATACTTTGCAGTCAGTTTTCCCTCTGGACACAGTGCCATTTATTTTATCATTTCTGTAAGAATACCTTTCATTGACTGTAACTGCACTTAGCAAGGGACTCATCACTTTCTGCTCCTGTGTAATTGACTAGTTAGCAGTTGCAGTTATTTAAATGAGTTGGTTACCTTTTGCGCAGTGTTGTGGCATATCTTGTGGTTCTATAAAAATCAGTTTATTCCAATAATACATTGGGCTCTTTGCAACCCAATACACCTATATACACAAACTTAAAAAAATCTCAAGAACAGCAACTAAAATCCAAAATTGGTGGCTGCATTATTCTGAACGCTTTCTTAAATCAATAATCAATATTCTGGTTTCTGGATCTCCAAGAATAAACCTCCCCCTCTCATCTTTCACCCAGTGTTCTTGGGTTTAGGAGTCAGAGAAAAACACTGGATCTCAGGAACACATTGAAAAGTCCCTGTGTGATTCTACTTTTGGGTGAAACTACTGATAATTTTAGAGAAAAATGTATTCAGTATAATTTAACAACATAAACAAGGAAATTTGATTTGCCCAAACATTTTATTGATGCTGGCATATTACACAGTGAAAAATTCCGAAAATTAATGAGGTGCTATAGTTAAGAACAAGTGGAGATAGGGAAACCGTATTAAAAAGAAAGGAGGCCTATTTGATTATTATTGACATTTATATAGCACCAACATATACCACAGTGCTTTACAATGATAGAAAGGGTGATACTAGATAACAAGTAACTGACTTCCAGAATAAAACAGAGACATGGGGGAAATTGATGGACATTTTTACTAATGACTTATTAAAAGTTACATTTTAACGACTTAGGTTGTTTCACCATAGGAGTATTCCACTATTCCCACATGCTTTTTCTTTGCATTCTTCAATTTTCTCTTTTTTTGTTTATGAACTAATTCTATAGGGGTTACACCCCACCCCCAGCTAGCAGGATTTTTGCAAATATTGGCTCCAGTCTTCTTTTTCCTTTCTTTTTCTCTTTCAATTGTGTATCTGTTCCTTTAACGATACATTGGAGTCAGCCAGGAGAACCACTCAAAACAGGTATTCATTTTTGGGCATTCATTACAAAATAATGCACAAACAAAATATATTACACGTAATCTTATACTGCCAGTGTTAAAAGATTATGACGGTATTACAACAAAACTTCACTTTGCTTGAGCAGCCTTCATGAGCTAGCCCTCATTTAACCCTTCCAATTCTGCCTCACTTCACTATTACTAATCTTCCTACAGTGTAAGGAAAAAAAACTATTTTTAGCTTCTAAATCATCACTATGCATGTGTGAATTCTAGCTCATCACTATGCATGTGTGAATTCTAGCTAGGTCTAATTTAACTATTTCGGTCCTGTACCCTGCAGAATAATCAGATGTATCTCTTTATGGAGTATTGTCACATGAACACTTTTTTTCTGTCTTATGGTTCTTTTCAGTTCTGCATTATTCCAAAAATGTCACCTTTCTCACATTGGCTTTTATGTACCCAACCTTTACGGACCATGGCACACTTTGGTTAGAGTCGTATTTCCATTTAATTTTTTTTTTAACTTCATTGATAGCTCATAACTGTCTTATGTAATTCAATCCATACATACTTCTTGCCAAACTGACTTGTAAGTTTGAATTATTGGCCAGATTCCCATTTTAATGTTGACACTTATTAAAAAGCATTCAGCCCACACACGTTAAGATCCAACCCCTTGGATGCGCATTGAAGCATTCCACACTGATGGACACAATTTACCCTACCTGGCATGGATCCTGAAATCCTTAAGCCATACATACACAGGCATGTTGCCAACCACTGCACTGACAATTGGTTGTGGGGATGCCTGCGCATGTTGTCCTGCGCGAAAAGCTACAGATACAACACATATACTTCATCAACCATGTGCTAACTGCAGCACTTATGGTCTTAGCAGAAACTGGCTAAATACCTCTGCCCAATCTATGCGGGAGTGTTTAGACCAAATTTCAATCACACTAAACTATGAAACAATGGCACGTAAAACAAAGTATCCTGCTAAATTCTGGAAACGAGCGTGGCCCCACTGGGTTGACTATCTAAGCATTAGGCACTAATCAAAACCTTGAACCTACTCCCACAGCTGTGCCCATCTCTCTACTCTAAATAATTTCCTCATGCACTCGTCCTTGGTACTGGCTATAGATGATCCAGACATGAACCACCCATATGAAAATACTTACTGTATGTGAAAATAATTACAGTATGTTTCTGACATAACCACAGCATTTGCATAATATGTGAACCCTGCTAACAGTACTTTTAATGACAGGAGCACTGCAACCTTACTCCCTTTCTCCTGAATTCCATATCTGATCATTTGTGCAAGCAATCACCATGCTGTAGAATCATGGGATGTCTGGTTTTCTTCTATAGTGCCCAAAAGTTAATGGTTAACTGATTTTCAAAGAAATCCGACATGTCTGTGTATTTTACACTTGACTGATAATGTGTCTGAAGCTCTTTATTGTGCTATTTAACACCTTATCATAGACTTTTACACAATGTACATGCTATAGATGAAGGAATAAAGAGAATGCTTATGTCATATCTTGTGCATTCTGCCGTGCAGAGAGTCTCTTTGATGTTTAGCTATTGTAATTATTGATACTGGACACATTGAGATGCAGCGTGTAGCAAACTTGCCCCTTTAACAGGGTTTGCCATGTATTCTTGGAGAGGCTGCTGGCCCACCTCCTACCCAGTGATTATGGTCCCAGGAAGATATGGCCCTTTAAGTACAATATTTGGGCATATTGGATTTGTATGTTGCTGCTAGCCCTTTGAGAACCATTTTGGGGCATGGAGAAACTTTGGGACAATGCCCCTTTAAATCTGTTTCTCCAGACCTATTTGGAACAAGGCCCCTTTAAGACGGTGTCCCCAGTGTACCCAGACTTTGGAAATAATTTTTAAATGGCTTTTCCCTTATGGTTCGGTAATTGGGGCTTACCGAGCCATTCACTGCACAGGCGGACCACCCAGAACTGGAAGTGTGCAGCCAATTTACCTCCCAGGCTGGGAGCCTGCTGTAGGTAAATTGCCGAACGCTGGGTGGCCACAGTTCGTGCAAACCAACACGTGGCGGCAGCCATCTTTTTTTCATTCAATGTGGTCAGCGGTGTGTGGAGCCAAATTCATGGAACTGAAATCGGCTACACAGTTCCGCGAACACCACTGACCCTTACCTTCTCCTACACTGAATTTTCAGCTGCAGAGACTAAGTCCCGTTCGGCAATTCGAACACGTTTTTTCAGCCTGTAATAGACCGACCGAATCTATGGAACTGTTTTGGGCATGAAAATGTGCTTGCGGTCGGTCAAAAAGGGACCACCAGCTAACTTTTTAGCCCCTGGATGGAATTGGCTGAATGTTGGCTATGCTTATAATTAAAGTATGCTGAGTTCGAATATGTGATTTTTATGTTTGTGGCATGTATAGAGGGGTGGAGATGTGTGGGAGGTAACATGTATCCGATTGGTGAATGTACTAATTATTGTGGGTGTCTCCCTTGCATGGGAGCATTGCATAAAAGCAGGGAATGTGAAATTAAACCTCAGTTAAGTTCTGCTCCTGATACTGTGTGTCCTCCAGTTATTGAGAAAGGTGATGGGATACTATTGTGTTTGTTATGCTGCAGGATTATTCTCTCACTGTGGATACTGTGCCTGGGATTATTGCTTGTTCCTGAGCCACACCTGGACTACCATCGGAAATAGTCTGTGAGAGATCAGCGTTCTGCTACACAGAGGTTGTGCCTGCAGATTTCCCCCCAAAAAAAAGATTTGGAGAAAATTAAAAACTGTACATAATTAACACTTCATAGATTGTGGTGCCTTCGATTTAAATTAGTAGCCAGATTTTTTCTTATTATATTTCACATTCATTATAAAGCATAGTCAGACACTTGACAGATTTCACAGAACAGAATTGGATAATGCTTTCATCCAGGACCATTGGTGGTCACGGGGGATTAGGATGACACTTGATTTAATGATAAAGGTGCCTGGAGACATCGGAGTGCCTGGACCTCTTTTTCTAATATTGATGCTTGATTTAATGGCCAGCATTTGCTAAGTTTCTATTAAAACATATATGTTACAATGTTAACTTGCGTCCATTGCTTAAAGGAACACTGTAGGCACTATAACAACTTCTTCTCATTGAGGTTGTTATAGTACCTTTAGTCCCATCCACCCAGGGTCCTACCCCCAAAATGTAATATTTTAATAGATTGAAGGCTTGTAAGCACTTCCAAACACATTCAGTAGGAGAGCTGAAACTCTCACATCCCAGCTCCCACAACCAGGAATACTGTGACATCACGCGGGCATGTGCATTGCCATCACAGTCTGTTATAGAGAATCATTGCATATGCTGTTCATGCACCTATGGTTCCCAATTCTCTATTATGAGGAGAATTTGATTGGCACGCCTCAAGGATGACATCACTCGAGGCGGAACAGGTGAGGTCATCCATCATCGAGGGAGACTAGGCACTGGAAAAAAGTGAGTCAAATAATTTAGTTTATTTTTACAGTGCACACAGTGGGGGGTGGGGGTCTGAAGGCCTGAAACTAATAGGGATAAGGATACTAGCATTTGGTTTACAAACAGATTTTTATTCCTAACACTATAGTGTCCATTTAAACATTAACAGGAATAATTCAGAAAAGAATCTCATATTCCATCAATAGGAAAGACTCAGAAGAGTTTGTTGCCAGTCGTGACAATTTTTTGCTCGATCAGCTGCAAGGAAAACAGCCAACCAGTGCAGACAGCTTGGAAAGTTCTGCACCCTAATAACTAACCTGAGGGATGATCTGGGGAAATAGAATGCCACTGTCTCCCCAGCTCCTTTCCCTTAATATTCCTTTTTGGAGAGGGACTGATTTAATGGTGGCAGCTGTTGTTTCAGAGTGTAACTCCCAATATACTCAGACAGGCTGGATCCCATATGTCCCTGAGACAAGGGGCCCTGCTCGGCTCACTGTCAGTATTCCAATTTTTATTGCACAGCGTGACATCAAGCACTCTGCAGTAGATGAAATAACACAGAAATTCATGTCATAACGTGCCATGGAACTCATATATTCTGCAGCTCTTTGTAATAATAGAAAGTGGATATAGTATAATCGCTTCTCATCACCATTCAGTTAGCTCCCTCACTTGCATCATTACCGCTTGTCCACTCAACATGTTTTCTAATGGAACTCACTAACCTTCCCCCTTTTAGATAAGTAGTAGGTCTCTTACCAGATGGACAGCTACTTGGATATATATATATATACCGTATATTCTTTATTTTTTTATATAGATTCTTTAATTTTGTATGACAGTCAGTACAAAAGACAAAGTAAACAAAGCCATGTGGCCTGTAAAAATGTATCAGAGTATATAATAGTATATATAAGTGATGGATCAGCAAACTACCACATCGTTATTGGCCCAGGGACCCCCAGACTTTCTCAGATTTTGCCAGAGAACCCCTAAGCTGTGCTGTTAGTTTAATTTTAGCAATAACCACCGGAACAGAGGGAATATCTGGTTGTAACCATGATTGGGCCAAGGCTCGTTTTGCTGCCAAAGTGATCTTGTGTAGAATATATATATATATAGTTTTTAATCATATGTTTTGTAGACTTAACCATATACTGAACATACCTGTCCTCCGTTCTTTCTATCCCATCCCGCCACTATGAGGTGCGCAGATATCTCTTCTTTGTACTTGTAGCTGATTCCTTTCACAAGGTTGGCGGCTGCCATAACTAATGGTTGAGTCTGCATTTCTATACTAAGGGTGGAGAGAGCACATTATAAGACATTCAGAATATATTGAGGTCAAAGAGCAAACTCTCATCGAGGAAGCCATCTGAAATATTGGGGTCTGGTGCAATACCTAATGTAAAAATCTGGACACTTCCAAATATACATTTTTCAAATCTGGGACAAAGCATGTCTGAGTTTGTCGAACACGGACCCCAATATTTCTGATGGACACTAAGACGGCAGAGACAATTGATCTACCTGAACTAAAGCTAACACTATCATTGTTTTGTAATAATCTATTTTTTTATTAAATTGAATTAGTTATTTAAGTAATTATGTTTATAAATTGCTGCATGTTAAAGGACCACAATAGTGCCAGGAAAACATACTCGTTTTCCTGGCACTATAGTGCCCTGAGTGTGCCCCCACCCTCAGGGACCCCCTCACGCCCGGCTCTGGGGAGAGGAAAGGGGTAAAAACGTACCTTTTTCCAGCGCTGGGCGGGGAGCTCTCCTCCTCCGATCCTCCTCCGTTCCTCCCATTTGGCTGAATGGGCACGCGCGGCAAGAGCTGCGCGCTCATTCAGCCGGTCGCATAGGAAAGCATTTCAATGCTTTCTTATGGACGCTTGCATGCTCTCATTGTGATTTTCACAGTGAGAATCACGCAAGCGCCTCTAGTGGCTGTCAATAAGACAGCCGCTAGAGGAATTGGAGGAAGGATTAACCCATTTGTAAACATAGCAGTTTCTTTGAAACTGCTATGTTTATAAAAAAAATGGGTTAACCCTAGCTGGACCTGGCACCCAGACCACTTCATTAAGCTGAAGTGGTCTGGGTGCCTAGAGTGGTCCTTTAATTCGTTTTTCAGTTGATGATGGCACTGCTGCATGATAAACAGCACATGGTAGAACCAGCAACAAAAGAAAAAGTAACTGAAACATCTATTGGCCACAAGTGTCCCCCATTATCAGCACCCAAACTCCTCCATTCTGTTAACTAACAAAATCCATAAAGCACAGGGATGTATAGGATAACCTAATAAATTAGGACAGCAAGACAAAATAACCCTTCTAGAAAACAAGTCAATGGGGTCCCCATGTCCTCTCCACATTAAAAAAACAGTGGATCTCACTTGGTATTTCTCCATCTCCTACCTGCACTTCATGTGTGTAATCTAATAATGAACTGGTAGAGGTCTGACAATTAACTCCAGGGGGCCTGTTATGTACAAAGGTTTTACATGCAGAGAAAATAAGGTCTTAACAACCTACCTGTGTATATCCATGTGATAACTAGCCATCTCAGCTACAGTCTGTGCATCGGCTGCAGAGCCAGACAGTGCACAGAATATTCTGTCGTGGATTGGGGACACTTTGTTAAACACTCGATTTACTACAGCATCTCTGGGGAAAAATACATGTGAAACGTGAAAGTCACATAACTAAGAGGAGTTATATTTTCAGAAATAGGCCAAAGTAGTATTTAATGGAAACATTATATCATGTATCTGAAAACATTAAAGCAGCACTGTAATGCCGATCCTATCTTTCTTTACTCGCTTCCTCTTCTCTCCCTCTGTCAGGATCTGTTCTGCATTTCTTCCTGCCTGCTCTAGTTTTCTTTAAAACATAAGACAAAGTAGGAATTACTTTGTCTTATGGAGGTTTCCTACGCTTGACCATCTCTGACCAGCGTTTCACCTTTCCTCCGTGTTCTCGCGATGCCTCCTTTCCTATATCGCGAGTAGGGGCAAGTCTAGTAAACAGTGAGCAGTCTGCTCACTGTTGTAAATTTTTTTTTTAAATAAACCCTCCACCCCCAATAAATAGCCCCAATAGTGGGGTATCTTAACTAGCCGGGGGGGGGACACATTGGGTTCCCCTCCAGAGTCCCCACCCATGCCCCGTGAGGGGGGCTATTCAAGTAAACAGGGGACATAAGGTCCTCCTTGGCCCCCACCCATGAGCGTCTGATGGGGACCCTAAATGAAAATTGGGGGGAACCTGTTGTCCTCTCCCTCTGGCTCCCACCCATGAGCGGCAGGTGGGGGCCATAAATTACAATAAGGGCCTATTGTTCTCCTCCCGGCCCCCACCAATGAGTGGCTGGTGGGGGCCCTAAATGAAAATGGGGGGGGGCCTATTCGTTTGATGGGTATTATGAATTTCTATTTGGCCTTTTTTGGGGCTAAAAAAATAAGATTTTAGAAAAAAGAAGACATCAAATGGTAAGTTATTTTTTATTTACAGGGATTTAGTTTTCTCATTCCCCCCTCACTATTTTTATGGTGAGGGGGGTAAGGAAGAATTTTTTTATTTATTTGGGTGGGGGGTTACATTTAGCTCCCACCTGCCACCCATGGGTGGGGGCCAGGGAGGAGAACAATAGGTCCCCGTCCCCCCCTTATTGTAATTTAGGGCTCCATCCTCCGCTTATGGGTGGGGGCCAGGGGAAGGACAATAGGCCCCCCCATTTTAATTTAGGGCCCCCACCCATCACTCATGGGACAAAACGTCCCCATTTCTCCCAGTGTCCTCTAGTCTATGTGTCCCCATGTCTCCCAGCCAGTGTCTGTGTCTCCATGTCTCCCAGTGTCCCCTAGTCTCTGGGTCACTGTGTCTCCCAGCCAGTGTCTCAGTGTCCCCATGTCTCCCAGTGTCCTTAGTCTCCCAGTGTATCCTAGTGTCTGTGTCCCCATGTATCTCAGTGTCCCTAGTGTCTCAGTGTCACCAATGGTCTTAGTATCCCCATGTCTCCCAGTGTCTTGATGTGTCTGTGTCCACAAGTGTCCCCATGTGTCTCAGTGTCCCTATGTCTCTCTGTGTCCCAATGTGTCCCAGTGTCTCCTAGTCTCCCAGTGTCCCCTAGTCTTCCAACGTCCCCTAGTCTCCCAGTGTCCTCATGTCTGTCCACTGGGAGACATGGGGAAACTGAGATACTAGGGGACTGTCACGATACCTTACCTTTTCCCCATGGACCCGCGAGGTGTAGCTCCGGGTTCTAAATCCTCCATGTGACGGCACGGCATGTCGGACGCCGGCTGCTCTACACACACCCCCTCTTAAGATGAAACGCATGCGCGCTTTCAAACTACTCCACGCTCCCTGACATTTTTTGGGCGTGGAGTTAAAGCTACAGACGCTCTGGTATAAAAGGGCGCCTTTTTTCCTTGTTCAGTGCCCTATTGTGGTTCTATTCTTGGTTCCCTCTAGTGCTTGATGTTTTCCTGTTTGTATCCTCGGAATTTTGATTCGGCTTGTACTTTTGACTATTCTCCATTCTGGTATCCTGACTTGGCTTGTTTTCTCGTTTTTCCTGTTATCTGGTTCCCTGACTCGGTTAGTTTTATCGTTATCCTGATATCTGGTTTCCGTTGTCTTTGGCTATTTCTCGACTATTCTATCTACGTTGAACCCGGCCATTCTAAGGTCCGGTAATACGTTTTCTGTTTGGGTTACACTTTGCGTGTTTTGGTCACTGTCATAACAGGGACACTGTGAGACAGGGGGACACTGGGTGACATGGAGACACAAGGGGACACTGGGAGACATGGGGCTCTGAGACGCTGTAATACACAGGGGACACTGGGAGACCTGGGGACACAGACACTGTGTCACAGACATGGGGACAATGGGAGAAATGAGGACACTGGGAAACTAGCGGACTGGCAACATGGGGACACTGAGACACTGGGTGACTTGGGAGACTGAGACACTGGGAGACAGGGAGACACTGGGAGCAGTCCATCTATACAGCAGATTAAAACTGTAAGTAGTTTTTTGGTTATTTTACAGACTCTTCTCTTATGTCACTCCTTGTGATTTACACTCCTTGTGATCATGTGATGTCACGCATACATAATTAATTATACAAATGATTAAGGTCGGTATTTTTTCCCAAGAAAGGTGGCAACCCTAACTACTCTTCACATACTCTTGCTAAAAGGGAAACTATAGTGCCAGGAAAACAAACTAATTTTCCTGGCACTATAGCTTCTACCTTTGTAAAGGCCCACCCCTGTGGTGCAGAAGGGGTTAATAACCCCTTCTGGTACTTACCTGCGTCCAGCACTGATGTCCCTCAGCGCTGGCTCAGCTCCGCCTATGCTCCTCCCTCGCGCTCGCATTAGGATTTCACCATAGGAAAGCATTATTCAATGCTTTCCTATGGGGATTCCGGTGACACTGGAAGTCCTCATGCATAAGTAGTCTTCAAGCCCAGAAGTCCCTCTAGTGGCTTTTTGGTAGACAGCCACTTGAGGAGGAGTTAACTCTGAGAGATAATTATTGCAGTTTATAAAAACTGCAATAATTACCACTCTAGGGTTAAGGGTGATGGGAGTATGCATTAAGACCACTTAAATGAGCTGAAGTGGTCTGGGTGCCTTCAGTGTCCCTTTAAGTATGGAAGCTTAAAAGGGATGTATGGGAACAAAACTTGTATGGACTGGCTGATAATGAAATGAGTTAAGGTAATGCTGACTTTGGTCTCTCTAACACTGTTGCATATCCCCTTTCTTCTATACTCACTACATACACCTTTTCTCTGTCCCAGACTATACCAGATACCAGTAGCTTATGTCTGCTAGTAAGAAGATTAGGAGACAAGTGGACATGTGAGTGCTAGGGGACAGGCATTAGAAAGCGTGTAATGAGCGCATGATTTGACGCATGTATGTCATGCTCAGGATGTTGTCTGCATAGTATGCCCTTAGTTGGCCAGCCTGCATGATTGGCAGGCAGCCTGACATGCATTCATGCCAGGCTGGCCTTCCAATTCTTTGGGCAGACATGCCCCCTTGTTGGGCATAGGCATGCCGCCGTGCTGACGCTCTTCCTGGCGCTGTTGTTCACTGTAATGATAGTCGGCATTTAAACCCCCATTCCTATCCTGGCCTCATACCTTCCCATGTTGATAGCCAGTAGGCACAACAACATAAGTAATGAATTTCTATAAACACACGTAAAAGGAACTTAAAATACTTACCCGGCCGACACCCGTGAGTCTGACCCTATGACAATCCCTCCATCGAACTCCACTGCGATAATTGTGGTCTGGGGGGACAGATAGTTTATTAATATATCAGACTTCTACCCGCCACTCACGATCTGTGAATAGCCTCACATAAACAGGTACATCTGAATATAAACAAAGCAAAAACAGAAAATATGAGAACACTGAGAACAAACACTTATTAGAATGCTCATTAGTTAGGTCCCACTCACATTTCAAAAACATATTTTCTAAAATGTCTGATACAATGTTAATATATAGCCACCTCACCTCTGGCAGACCCTGCTCCCTCACCTCCACACTCCCTTTCCCTCTTCTTTTTATGTTTGTTTTGTTTGGCTATTCACAAAGCCATATTGTCCGATTGCATCTCCACAATGGCAGAACTTTTGCAGTTACACTTCCATGTGACGTGCCTGTACTTTGTGTGCCAAATATAAATAAATATTTATATATTTTTTTAAACGCTTATACCAGCACACTTTTTCAGGAGTTACAGCCATTCACTCCTATTGTCAAATATATAATACATAATCCATGCACATTTATTTTTAATCGTCCACTTTTTTTTTTTTTTTTTTGTATTTTTGTAATCCCTGGCTGAATAAGTGTGTCTCATCTCATCAGGGAAAATTGTAGCTGAGACATTGTAAAAATCACAGAAGACTTTTTCTTGCTTTTTTAGGGGATTTCTCCATATTTATAGCACCCCAAAGCTGCAAATGTTTTTGCTTATCTAATTATGCCCTGCACATCGTACGTTCTTCCACCACCTGGTTCTAACAGTAATGTGCTATTGACATATTTTAGTGTGAATTAAGCTTATTCCCCTCCTGATGGAAAGCAGTATATTGATATTGATATTTCGTTACTTTAACCATTTGAGTGCTAGAGAGGATCGAAGTACAAATCATATAACCCCTCTGAACGCAAAGAGTTAAATTGTAACAGTTTTTGTAACATTTTACCGTCCTGCCCCTCCTTCCCTAACACACAGCTCCCTGTCTCTTTCTTCCTAATCCCCACGTCACTGACCAAATTACCTCTTTTAACTCACTGTGCATCTCTCTCAAACACTCTCTTTCATATAAAACATACTCTGTGTCCCCACACCACTATCTGCCCCCAGTGTATCTTGCTTACCCCTGTTGAGACCTCATATGAGGAATTATAAGGGTGTCCAGAGCCAGACATTTTGCTTCTCTTGTCTTCGGAAGATAAAAGTAAAAGTGAAACAAACTGTACAGCATTAGCTTCGCTTGTGTATGTGTGTGTGTGTGTGTGTGTGTGCATTTGTGTGTGTTTGTGCCTGTATTCTGTGTGTGACCCAGACAGGCTCAGACATTGCTGAGTTTGGATCTAATGTAGGGAATCTGACTGTATATTATCAGGACAGGCTCAGACAGTGCTGAGTTTGGATCTAATGCAGGGGATCCCTCTCTAGTCCTTTAAGAGATCCCTCTCTACATACCTCAAAACAGAATGAACGTGTCAAGGTTGATTATAAATTTCCTACCTGTTCTATGTTAAATCTTGTTTATATTGTGTATTAATATTGTTTTTGGATTTTATTGTTCCATAATGTATCAATGCAATGTTTTGTGGACACAGGACATACTTGAAAACGAGAGAAATCTCAATGTATCTTTACTGGTAAAATATTTTATAAATCTGAATGTAAATAAATCTGAATGCACGTTATCAGGACAGGCTCAGACAGTGCTGGGTTTATATCTAATGTAGGGGATCTGGTTGCATATTATCAGGACAGGCAACATCAGGTTTAATGTAATGATGGTATTTTATCAGGACAGGCTCAGACAGTGCATGGTTTATATAAAATGTAGGGGCTCTGACTGCACATTATCAGGACAGTTTGAGACAGCATCAGGTTTATTTCTAATGTAGGGGGTTGGTCTGCTTGTTAACAGGACAGGCTCAGACAGTGCTGGATTCATATCTAATGTAATGACCGTATTTTATCAAGACAGGTTCACACCGTGCACGATTTATATCAACTATAGGGGGATCTGGTTGCACATTATCAGAACAGGCTCAGACAGCACTTGGTTTATATCCAGTGTGGGTGATTTGACCGAACATTATCAGGACAGTCTCAGGCAGTGCTGGGTTATATCTAATTAATGGAGGTGATCTGAAAGCACGTTATCAGGACAGGCTCAGACAGCGCTGGGTTATTTTCTAAAGCAAGGAAATCAGGTTGCACATTTTCAATAGTCTCAGTCAATACCTAGGTTAAATTATATAAGTGCCAAATGCCTCAAGTTTTGCAAGACAGTCATGATTTTAGTCTCCTGTCCTCCGTCCTTGTTTCTTTCTCTGGTCCTGCTTCAGGGTCATTAGTCTAGGGGTTCACATACTTTTTCCACCTGCACTGTGAATGTTTACATGGTGTGTTCAATAAAAACATGGCAACATTTCATTCTTTTGTGTGTTATTAGTTTAAGCAGACTGTGATTGTCTATTGTTGTGACTTAGATGATGATCAGATCACATTTTATGACCAATTTGTGCAGAAATCCATATCATTCCAAAGGGTTCACATACTTTTTCTTGCAACTGTATGTCTATGCCTTACTACATAGTATCTTGCAAAACACTTCTGACATCCCTATCACGCTTGTTTTACAATTTTGAATATACGCCGAATCTATGGAGAATGGCGCTGTTTGCAATAGCCCTACAAATGTCTGATATGTGATGTATTGCTAGCTTGTACTATTTCCTAGGGCAACACAAACCTGCTTATAGATCACAGACACTGTAGATAAATACCTAACTTGCTCTACACATAATGCAATAAGCTGAGCCTGAGCTGCTTAACACATAGCATGACTAACCTGTTATATTGTACACATGGAACCTACCATTTGAGCAATTACTAACTGACCTTTGCAGCCATTTCTTAAACAATTGCTTGTAATACTATGTTTACTTGACGTATCAAAAACAAAAAATATATGGCAGTCCTTAGTAGAGGTGTACTATGTACCATCTTGTTTTTATCAACTTGTATTATCCCATACCGCCTCCTCTCTTTATTCTGTACCCCATAATGCAAATACCATAATAAAAGAAAGATTTACAACAACAAAAAACAAAAAAACAGAGAATAGGCTCCATTAAGGATTCTGCAGCAGGATACAGAACATGCTCAAAGTTTCAGTTCCTGGTTTCTGGCTTTTCTAACATGTTCAGAAAATTTCTTCCTAGCAACAAATGACATTCAGAATTTTCTAAATATTAATTGGCTAATCCATCTAAATTGCATTGGGTACTTTCCATGGCAGTTAATCAATCAAAAAAAAAAAAAATAGATCAGTTAAAGTGGCACTGTCACCCCTCCACCGAAAAAATATATGAGTATTTCGTAAAGCTAGAATCCTTATGAAATATTAGTTTTGACTGTGTTGCTATTTCACTGAAATTCCAACCCACTGAAGAGATATATAGAGACAAAGTAGACCATATAGAGACCACCTGATTTTCTTAGACTCAGGGCAGAGGATAAGAGTCAATCTTAATTGCAGGGAAGTGAATGTGTCTAAGAAAACGGTTTAGGGAAGGTGCTTTCCAGAGCAGTTAAACCACCCCAGATACATCTGTAAACAATGCAAAGACTGTATATTTCCAGATAAATTTTATGTTTCAGTGTGGTTATTATGGTTTGACATGTAATTTTGTATCTTATAATGTAGTTCATCTGACAACACATTATCAGGACAGGCTCAGGCAGCATTGGGTTTCTATCTAATGTAGGAGAACTGACTGCACATTATCAGGACAGGCTCAGGCAGCATTGGGTTTCTATCTAATGTAGGAGAACTGACTGCACATTATCAGGACAGGCTCAGACAGCGCTGGGTTTATATCTAATTTAGAGGAATTGACTATATATTATAAGAATAGGCTCAGACAGTGCTGGGTTTATATCTAATGTAGGGGATCTGACTGTATATTATAAGAACAGGCTCAGGCAGTGCTGGGTTTATATCTAATGTAGAGGATCTGACTGCACATTATCAGGACAGGCTCAGACAGTGCTGGGTTTATATCTAAGGTAGAGGATCTGACTGTACGTTATCAGGACAGGCTCAGACAGTGCTGGGTTTATATCTAATGTAAGGGGTCTGACTGCACATTATCAGGACAGGCTCAGACAGCGCTGGGTTTATATCTAATATATCTGACTGCACATTATCAGGACAGGCTCAGACAGTGCTGGGTTTATATCTGATGTAGGGGATCTGACTGTACATTATCAGGACAGGCTCAGACAGTGTTGGGTTTATATCTAATGTAGGGGATCTGACTGTACATTATCAGGACAGGCTCAGACAGTGCTGGATTTATATCTAATGTAGGGGATCTGACTGTACATTATCAGGACAGGCTCAGACAGTGCTGGGTTTATATCTAATGTAGGGGATCTGACTGTACGTTATCAGGACAGGCTCAGACAGTGCTGGGTTTATATCTAATGTAGGGGATCTGACTGTACATTATAAGAACAGGCTCAGACAGCGCTGGGTTTATATCTAATGTAGGGGATCTGACTGCACGTTATCAGGACAGGCTCAGACAGCGCTGGGTTTATATCTAATGTAGGGGATCTGACTGTATATTACCAGGACAAGCTCAGACGGCCTGCTTATCACTCAGACCGTGGATTACAGAACCTCCTCAGATAGCACAGAGTTTATGGTTCACTTTTCTAAACTGTCAGCCTGGCAATAAATGGCATTTTGAGAACTTAAAAGATTAACCTACTGTAACACTGACTTGAATCCAGACTTAAAATCACCAGTTATAAAACAAAGATAAAGGATGTTTGTGCAAGAAAACGGTTCAGGGAAAGAGTAGTTAAACCACCCCAGATACATCTGTAAACAATATTTTCAGGCCACGCATAGTCTGTATATATTTCTGGATTCATTTTATATTTCAGTGCTGTTATTATAGTTTGACATGTAATTTTGTATCTTATAGTGTGCTGTATTTACATAGCTTTATTTATTTAGTGGTTTGTGATAGGAAATAAGGGTTATGTATGAATGTGTTTTTGTGAGATAAGGACAGTTGTGACACAATCAGCACCTGTGCTTATGTATAAAATGACTCCCGCTGGTAATATGTTCCAGTTTAGTAGCTGCACCTGCACCGGTATCGGCACAATGACAGGATAAAAAAATGCTCTAACCATTGTTTAAAAAATGTATGTAAAAAAGCTTAAAGTAAGGGTGTATGTCTCTTTAAATGCTGTTTGAAATAACCATAGGAAAGCTAAAAAAAATATGGAAAACCATATTTTTAGAAAAGACTTGTGCTGCAATGTTTTTGCTTGAAGACAGAATTATGTTGAGAGATTTTGTGGGTAAAAAGCGTTTATCTCATACATATGAGATCACGTGACAGGGTACTATTATATAAAGTATCAGGTAATGCTGGGCTGTGGGTGTGGTATACAGAACATTCCTCTTCTGCAACTGTCAATAAATGAAACAAACTAAGTCTTCAGTGAATACTATTCTACCAATCTACTTCTCTAATACTATTCTTACCTTTTGTGTCACTTTGCCCAACTCCTTCTAGCATGTAAGCTCATTGAGCAGGGCCTACAACTCCTCTGTTCCTGTTTGTACAACTTGTCTGGTTACAATCATGTCTGTTGGTATATAAATAATAATAATTATAATAATAATAACAACAGTACTTCCTTTGATTATTTAAACATTGTATAGTGCTACATTTTGGACACTTTTAATGTGCAAAATATTTCTATATTGACACAAAACTTGGAATGTAATATAACATAAAATTCTTTACAAAATGCACATTTGTTTTTTATGATCCAAGGGTACATGCCTCTTTGGCCCGGTTGAGTTTGTGGAGGGCACACCCTTCATCCGTGGTGGGGTGAGGGCTCTCAGGTCTGCCGTCACCCTCTCCCCTCCCCATCCCCCTCTTTTATTCTTTTCCTCCCTTTTTCTCCCTCCTCTTATATTTCCACCTCTGTTTCCTTCCCTATTTCATATTCCCCCATCCCCAATCTTTGTATTCCTGCTAGTATTATAACTCCTTATGCATGTGTTGGAAACAAGGTAGCTGTTCTGACACTAGTCTCAATTGAATCACGATTGAGCGATGAATACGAGAGGCATAACTGGTCCGGGTGACTTACTTACAACCAGGACCAGACTGGCCTACTGGGACACTGGGAAATTTCCTGGTAGACCGGCAAACTATCGAGCCGGTGCGCGGCCACCTAGTGCTCTCTGGCC